GGCCAGCTTCTTAGCAAGACGTTCTTTCCTCTCTGCCTCTGCCTGCTTCTCGGCTTCCGCATCCTGCTGTTTCTTGAGACGAGCACGCTCGATCTTTTCAGCCATCAAACGTTTCTGTACCTCGACTGGGTTCTCTGCCGGTGGTGCTGGTGTAGGCGCCGGTACATCTTGTACAGCTGAGGTTACTGAGCCATAGGGTGAAGCCGGGTGTGCATGAGGAACGTTCGGAGACTTCATCTGCTGGAATGGCGATTGTCTGGCGGCTGCAGGATCCGAAGGGTCCAAACCGTTGATCGAGTGTGATTCGCGTCGCTCCATGTTCATGGGACCAGTAGGCATGTCTACTCCCCGTGGGTCCATCGACATGCGCCTAGGCATAGTTCCACTAACGTTGGACGAGTTCCTCCTCCTGCCCCAAGTAGGACCATCCGCGCTTGCCCTTGACGTCTGGAACGCCGCTGAAGGCTCTGCTGGGCCGCCGTCCTGAGAAGGCCTCTGTAACACAGCGGACGGCTGCTGCCGGTAACCACCACCAGCATCTCGTCCAGAACCCCGCCGCATGTCATTGTGTACAGGCTCATAACGACCACTCTGCGAATTGAACAATTCCCGGCCGTCTCGAGTATCTCGGCCGCCGCTTTCGTTGCGCCAGTTGCGATTAAAGTCGTCTGGGGCGATCTCCTTCGCGGGAGGTGGGGGCATGGAGTCGTAGCCATAGGAATCACGCTGTGAGTAGCGCTGTGGGGGCGGTTGCTGCGCAGGGGGATTGATTTGGATCGGCGACACCTTCTCGACTGGAGGCAGGGGCGCCCATGGTGACTTCTTCTCGGTTGCTGATGGCTTGGCCACTAGAGTTGGTCTTTCTGGCTGACCCTTGAGGACCAGACTTGACTTTCCAGTAGTGGGCTGCGTGTGCGCACCAGGCTTCAAGATAGTTTTGGCACCACCAGTGACGCTCAATTTGGGCGCGTTCGTAGCTGGAGCCGGGGACGTAGTAGGCTTGGGTGCTTCGGCGGGCGTCTCAGGCTTGAGAATAGTCTTGGGCTCTTCGGCGGGCGGTGGCTGCGTCTCCGGTGGCACCGCAACTGAGGACTTGGTTCCATCCATCCATTGCACTGCTTCCGGGGTCCAGTCTTCCTCGTCATCGTCAATGTCTGCCCACTTGGCCTCCTTGCCTCCTTCATCAGCTTGTAGGCGTGTTGCAAGGTGTATGCCGTACTGCTGCTTCAGTTCTTCGTCGGTGAAGGTTTTGGGCGGTGGAGTTGGGACGGGCTGGTTCTTATTCCAGACTTTGCTCGCATCTGGACCTGCACCTGCGCCATTGGTCTGTCCCAGCGCACGCGGGGCGTTGCCAGCGCCAGATTTCGCTACGAGGCGGGGCTTCGCGGTGAGAATCGACGTCTTGGGCGGGGCTGCCGGGGCTGCTTTCTCCCCCGGTCGTGCAGCAGGCGTGGTCGGAACGGTCTTGGCCAGAAAGCTCTTCGTCACAGACACTGACTTGAACGGCTGTTTCTTGGCTGCTGAGTTGGTCCGCACGTGAACTCCGTCGCGCTTGGACTGGTCGACGCTTCCTGGGCGGCTGATGTCGGTATCTGAGCCACCACTGGCATCTGCTACGGCTTGCGACTCCGCCGCCAGATGTTCGCTCGAGAAGCCATTGAGGTGGGGCTGTTTGGAATCGTGCCGTGATGCATCCGACTGCTTGTTCTCGCCCTGCTACTATTAACACCGCGTCCGCATGCCTCTTCCTCGCTACTTACAGCTGCCACATCTCCATCGGCCTTGTCTGACACGTGTGCACTACCAGTGGCGGGTGCACCTGTGCCGTTCACAGTGGGTTTCGTAGGAGACGCTTCTCGTGGGGTCGGTTTCGTGGTCGCTGTGCCCGAGGGCGGTTCGCCGTTGACGGCGGGGGTGTTGGTAGTTGACGCAGAGTCGTCGATGGGCGCAGAACGACCCACCGACTGTGCTTCCTTTACCACATCGTTGGCAACCTGCTCTGCCATAACAGTTTCCGGAACTGAAGTGGCGCAAGACTCAATGTCAGAAAGATGTTCTTGGTCTGATCCAAACAAAGACGTGGGCGTGAGCGGCGCCGACTGCTGCGAGTCGAGCCCGGCCGGACGCCCGCTGTCCTCCACATGCGACATGGGAGCTAAGAAAAGTTGGGGATAATCACCTAATGTCAGATGCTACAAGTCGCCACGGATGTCGAGTCGGCGCTTCCGCAGAGTTGCTATCTGCAAGTTGCTGAGGTGACGCGGCGAGTGCGGAGGTTTCGGAGTGTTTCGCTGGATGGATGCGCGGGCTGGAGGCAGTCGCGAACACGTGCTGGGTCGCGCTGATTCACCGAACGGCGTGGAGTCGCGCTCGGGAGGGGGCGGCGTGAAAGAAGGGGCCCTTTCGTGGTGGGGCGGACTGCGGGTGTGGATGGGTGTATAGGAGGTTGAGGCGGGTAGCTTGAGTAGCCACGATGGTGAGAGGCGCTAGTCTTGGCACACGCCTGGGGTCCTCTTTGTATCGATTCTGACATCTGGAATGCCCTGGGAGCTGTGCGTCACACGGCTGCAGCGACAATCACGACTCACGCCTGAGCTGCGGAGGTGCGGGCCGGACGAAGCCTGCTGGGAAGACTGGTCGACAGACTGCTACTGACACATGCTCATACCATGCACGTGAGGTTCTTTGACATGTGCATTTTCAGAAACGAGACGACAAGACCCACTACATTTCCGTAGCACTGCACATGATGTACTACCTTATCCTCGCCCGGGATGACGTTGTCGGCCCCATGAGAGCTGTCCAGGCCCCCGCCGCCGCACACGTGTGGATGTCGACAAAGAAGAGGGCAGAGTCATATGCATGATAGGAGAAGAGACTGTCTTGGCTAGATGTTTGATTCACCAACTACACTTTACATATACACATCCGGTCTATTCGCCCGTGACGATGCAGCGCATTCAGAGGACCCGCTTAGTGCTCGTTGTTCTTGTGGTGGCCTGCAAGTGGTGAGTCACATCATCTCGTTAGCGCATCTGATTCGACTTACGGAGATGGAAGTAGTAGTTCTGCGCGTAGCCGATGGCGATCAGGAAGCCAATGACGTGAACGAGGGCTGTACAGGGTCAGTCTGGTGCTCTCATCCGATCTCGCAGGCTCAAGGACAGCGCTCGCATAGTCTCCTGTCCCGCCGGGTGCACTCACGCCTTGCTGAAGGGTTCTTGCCCATGTACTTCTTTTGGTAGCGTCCGAGAAGACCCTTGGCCTCGGGCTCGGGAGCTGGGCCACGGGGCAGCTTCTCGTAGAAGCTCACGACCTTCTGCATGCGGACAGCATTGGGGGAGGAGCCGATAGCCTGTTTCCTATATCAGCCCTGGTCTGGAATCGCCATTTTGAGGGTCGTCGGGATGCGCCAAGGTTCGCAGTCGGGGTGCTGCGACTGTGGAGGCGTTTGCGGTGGGCCGAAAGTTGCGCGTATGCGATTGCGGGGGTTCGAAGGCGTGCTAGGATAGCGTTTGGAGGGCTCTTACATTGGGAGAAGCAATCTAGAGAGCATTGTCAGTGCCATGCGCGGTCCGAGGGGCAGACAGAAGCCGTACCTTGGGGGGGATGAGGGTCGAGAGACCGCGCTTTTGCATGAAGCTCATCTTGACGGCTGCGGGCCAGTTAGCATCAATTGCACTCTCTCTGCGTGGCGGATCGGTTCGGGCTACGTACCAGGGCGGGCAAGACGATGGAGTGGAGATGGAGGTCGTGCGGTCGGTGGTGAGGTTCGAGGAAGAAAGCTGCAGGACGGATTATGCCGGCGCCTTCGCCAAGCAACCACCCCAGCTTCATCCCATTGCATCGACATCACCAGCATTCCCGCCCGCCACGCCGACGACACAACCACCATGGCTGCCCTACCGAGGACAATTGCACCGCGACTGCTCGCCCCCGCCCTGCGGCCCTCCGCGACGAGGGTCATCGCCCCCTCCTTCCGCACCTATGCGACCAACGAGCCCACTCCCCACGGCCACAAGACGAGCTCCGAAGATGCGCCCGCCGTCAAACTCACGAGCGAGTCCACCCAGATCCGCGAGGAAAACGCCGCAGAGGGCATGAGGCACCAGCCAGACTACAATGTCGCCATTGACTACCGGACCTCGTGCGTCAACCGTGGATAAGGATCAGGCGGCATATGGCTAACATGTCCCCAGCAACTTCTCCCCGGTTCCCAAGCGCGTCATGGATGGCAGCGAGCCCGGTGACAGTGTCGCGGCTGCCGTTCTCTCCGGCGCCCCCACCGACCTCCAGGCGCGTACTGTTCGGTACGAGACATCCTCCACCCGACGTCGGCCGTGATACTAATTGTTCCCAGCATCTACAAGCCCTCCAAGACAGCCACACAATCCGGCGACTGGAACGCCTCGCACTGGCTGATGGACTGGGACGTCCTCCCCAAGGGCCACCGATGGGAGAACCCGCTCATGGGCTGGCAGTCGTCTGCCGACTTCATGAACGGCCACCGGATACAGTTCAAGTCCAAGGAGGATGCCATCAAATTTGCTAACAAGCAAGGCTACGAGTACTTTGTCCAGGAACCCAACAAGCGGAAGACCGTCCCCAAGGCATATGCCAACTTGTTCAGTCACAGCCCAAAGAAGCTCAAGATCATAACAACCAAGTAAGAGTTGGATTTGGCCAGGCGCGAAACAGCACGTGTACATACTGCATTGAATTACATTTTCAAGATATTTTCCTCCTGGATGCCCTGTGTGTTGATGTTGATGTTCGAGCGTCCCGCATGTTGCCTGGCCGCCGCAACACCGCTCTTCCTGACGCGTTTGCAATTTCCTCATTGTCTGAAAACTGCACCGGGGCGTCGTAATCCCCATTGACGGCGACTTTAACGAGGCAAACACACACAGCCGCTAGCCATATATCAGTCTTTTCTGCCCCTCCGTCTCCGTCTCTCCTTCATGAACACCGTCACCGTTGCCGAACCTCTTTGTGCAGCCATGTCTTCTTCACCGGGACTCAAGGTGAAGGGCAGTAGCCCCAGACTGCCCTTCACCTCTGCGCTAACAAAAGCTAGAAGCTATATACAAACTTTTGAGCTTTCGTTTTGGTTCTCCAACCACCAAACTCCCATCACCAGTTAGTATATTGTACGGCTTCAGCGTATCTTTTGCTAATGGCGATCAGCCACACCAGACTACAAAGTAGTCATCAAAGCACTCCACCACCTCGCCAACCAGCCAGAAAAAATGGGTCGAGCAGGATACGAAACTACCTACGTCTGCAACGACAAGGACTCTGCGGCGGCAGACGCAATTGCCATGCACGAGGTCAAGAGGGCCGAGGCAGCCGTAAGTATCTCATCACCTCCTGACACTACCATGGCACTAACGTACAACAGAAGATCGCGGCCATCGAGGCTGCTGAGGCTGCAGAAGCCAAGTTCATCCGGAGCAAGAAGTCTCGTGGAATCGTGGCCGCACGCAAGGCCGCCAAGGACAAAGCCACCTCGCAGGCGGGTGTCTACGAGTCGGAGGGCGACTCAGACAAGACGACAAAGCCCTGACGACCGCGCACCACCAAGACACCTGCGGACGACCGTCTCTCCTCCGCTCATGGTACCCGTCTGGCGACAGTATAAAAGTTGGAACCTGATATTGAAAGAACGATACCCAAGCTTGATCAAAGCTGGTGGCATCTGTCTGGCGGCATATCACATTCGAAACTTGATTTCTGGAGTAAGGAATGGCATTGCATTAAGATACCCAAGTCTAGTTTAGCACAATGAAAAGTCATGAATTCGTAACAGTCTACCTCATCGCCCCACTCTAGTCTAGTAGTCTCCTCTCAACTATGCTCTGCCTCTTCGCCTTGACCGCAGCAGCTCCCTTGATTGCTGTCCTAGTGGCGTCGAAGAACTTGTTCGCCATCTTCTGTACACCCGTCTGCAAGTTGGGGTGTTCACCATCGTCTGTGTCCTTGACTGCGTCGAAGTCGGCAAAGTTGTCAACGAAGTAGACCGGGCTCTTCACATTGCTCTTCTTAGGCATGTGCGTAGCCATGTAAGCGTTGAGGTCTTTGATGCCTTGAACGGCCTGGGCATTGAAGCGCGCGGGGTCCAATGGAAGGAGGTTAGAGACGACGATCTGCATGTTGGGATTCTTCTTCCGCATTTGTGCGATAAGGATGTCGTACGAGGCGATGATGTCGTTGATAGGCCTCTTGCCGATGAGAACATCGTTGGTGCCGAGGAGCATGAGAACAACATCCGGAGGGTTCTTGTCGAGCCAGCCAGGCAGTTGGCTGTTCTTGACGATGTCGGCGGCTTGGAACCCAGGGTGACCTTCGTGATCCTGGTCGATGTTGGTCCCACCGCAGGTGCTCTTTTGGCCACCGACAAAGTCAAAGTTCGTTACACCTGCATCCCTAAGCTTGGTTTGGAGGTTGGCGCGCCAGCATCGCTTGAATAGGAGTCAGTGGATGGAAACTTGAAGTGAGGAAGGTGGGATACGTACCGAGACGATGGAAGCACCAAAGGGCATGACCTTGACTGTCTTTTGAGCGCAGACTTCGCTGGCAAGGGTGAGGAGCCCGAGGGCGATAGCAGAGATCTTGACCATCTTGTATATGGAGAATGTGTAGAAGTGGTGAAGTTCTGGGGATTATTTCGTGGTTGTCTGAGTAGTTGACCGGTAATCAAGAACTCGAGAAGAGGAAGGCCGCGGGATTATGTATTAATAGCAGCGCGCAGTCGAGCCGTCGGTTGTGGAAATCCGTGCGCGTGGGAAACCCCTCGTGCGTTGTCCCGTTTGTTATCGCGATGCCCGGTCAGATCCAGAGCGTAAGGCGGCAGGAGCTTTGCGTGACCCGTGAAATGAGGCCAATGTATTTAGCAATCACCGAGTTCAAAGGGCCGTTATGATAGATTCCGCGAACGTGTAGATATTTATTCCGAAAAAGTATAGTGAGCCAGGGGGCGAAGCAATATAAGTTATGGATAGTTCGTAGCAGTAGTAGCAAAGTAAACCTTGAATGTTGCTTGCTTGTGATATCAACATCCAGGGATGTGAACCGGCACCTTATATCTAATTCCCAGACACAGTACGGTGCACGCTAGACTGATCAGACGACTGACGGCGGAGTGAACTGGCCGCTGTTTCCAGGCCTAAGCCCCACCCACCCCGCCCTTGCTCATCGTCGCCTAGAGTCAAGAAACAAAAGGCCGGGTGCGGCGTACATGTGCTGGTCGCCGTGGAAGGAGGAAGCGGCTGTGCCTGGCTCAGGAAGGCTGGCTGTACTACCCCTGTCAAGACCGTATCGGGAATAGATGACGCTAGAGTAGTCAGAACACTTGGTCGGTTTGGGGAGACGGGAGACTAGATTGTAGGTCCAGATTACACTGTGCCGCTCGGGGCCTTTGCGTTGTTGGTGATGCGGTGAACGGTATGCGTCTCCCCATGCTATACGCTCAGTATCGAAGGACGTGAAGCCAGTCATGAACAACAACAACAAAGACAACACGCCGCAGTCACCCACGCCACAGCCAGTAGCAGGACCCGGTCGCAACGACTTTCGCGAGGTCTTCCAAATTGAGCCTACAGGGTCTCAGAGGTCTAGCCTCTGCCGTCATAGAACCCTGCCGCGCGTGGAGCTTCCTAGCAATCTAACCATACGAGAAAGCTTGTCGGCAGATGAGCTTAAGATAGCTGCAGGGACCCTAAGCGTGCGAAAAAAACGGAGCACGAGCGCAACACTTCGCGAAGATGTGTTCAAGGGTAGGGTAGAAGGAATTCCTCCCATTGGTCTTTGCGACATTGCGCCGCTACCACTTTGCTGAAAACGAAAGAGCCAGGGTGGATTTGGAACACTTCTGCGGTCGACAGGAAACGTGCGTGACACTGTCCGTGACAGAACGGCCGCTCCGCGATGCGATGGCGGGGGTGGAAACCTACAATGACAGCTGATGACGGACTAGATTCCTCGAGACCGAATTTTCGAGGCAGGATTGCATCCAAGCGCCATCGTATTGAAGCAAGCTACTCACGTTTTCGACGTCGCGCTGCAGGCCAATGTGTCTCACGAGACTGTCGTACCATGAAGTTGGGAGCCATGTCACAGATAACTCCGCGGGAAAGGACACTTGAATGTCCGGCCAGCATTATCGGCGGCGTACGGCATCGTGGTGTTGGTCGGTCTTTGGTCGAAGGAGAGGATGTGGTGTGTCTGACCGGGACAAGATCAACTTCCGTGGCTTACGCCCTCTCGCTAAACCACCGGCTCAAGTGCTGCAACATGTCCCCTATACCTAAACAGGACGCAAGTCATCTCCACGTGCTACGACCTGCAGGTTCGCGCAGAGGGGCAAAAGGCCGCATTATCGGCGTTGGACAGAAGATTGTACTGTCAGCACTATGCCTGCACGCATCGTGGTGTGGTAGCTCGAGTGCTCCCGAGGTTGATCTTTGACGAACCTGCAGCAATCAGCATCATGCTCGCTATCTAGCTTCGCCCTCCTCCGCAGCTCCGCCTCTGCGCTCGAACAACACCAACACCAACACCAAGATCGTCTTCAGCCAGCCCTGCGCTTGGATCGCAGCGTAGATCGCATCCAGAAAAGCGCTAGCCGGCCGCTCCGCTGGCGATAGCGCGCTGTCGCTTAAACCTGGTGACCTGGCATCTGGGCTCGCCCGGACGATCAATTATAGATTCTGCGCTTCGCTTTCGTATACCAGCCTGGAGTTTGGTTATATATCGGCGCATTGCAGTCCTGGGATAGATTCTACAAGTCTCGTGGACAGGGCAGCGTATGCAGGGACTCTGAAGTGCGTCTATACTACTGCAATGATGCGTCGGTACAGAGCTTGAACACTTGCATGTGCACAGGGTACGTGCTGGCGGGCCATAGCCGAGCGGGATCGAGGGTCAAATCGCGAATCGAAGCCGACTGAGCAGAAGATCTTCAGTGTAGGAAACGTCATTGGTGATTAAGGTTTAGTAGTTTACATCCACTGAAGAACTTACATTGAACATCGACGATTTTCACCGGGCGAAAGTAGGTTCAGGTAAACCATCTTCTTCTAATCATCAGCATATCAGCATTACAAGCATAGCCAGGCCGCGGGGCAGGCGACCGCAAGGCGACCCATGGTCAGGCCGCAATCCTACACAGCACAACTTAGGCTATCTATGCAGTCCTTGAAATCTAACACGACTGCGCCTCAACGGCTGGCTCAAGGCATCCATCACAGCCTATATTTCTTGTGAGCACAGGCCGGGAGTAGGAGTAATACCATGCGTTGTTTTCGAGGAGATTGCCACCATTTACCAATGACGTTCTGTCAAAGAGTGATCAACGTATGGCTGAAACAACCTAATCTTGTTGCTCCCACTCCAACATAATAAACTGCCCTCCGAGATCGTCACGAAGAAACACGACATTCACAACGCGCTACCGCTCTACTATGACGACAGAACAAGAGGAAGCAAGTTTGTAGCTGTAGCAGATTCGTACGGGATATCGATGCGAGATATGAAGCGTCTACGTTTCAGTCGTCGCGACAAAGTTTGGCTTAGAAGGAGACTCGTGGTGTAGCTTTTGTGAAATAGAGGGGAAGAAACGTATCGGATGTCTCGGCCGGCGACCTGTTTCGTTATGAAGGACCATGGCAGGTATGAAGAGAGTCTTTACAATATTGGGCCTTGGTCCTATCGGCGACTGCACAGGTATCCATCAACCACACTCGGCAAAGTTTGTGCTGTGAAGACACGAAGATTTGTTTGCACTTCTACACGCGCTATTTCATCGTACACTGTATACATTTGAGATGAGCATGCCCATATATCGGGGTGCTCCAGACTTCGCCTCTGACAGCAACAAGCTAGACATAAATCATCGTACTTGGTAAACCCATGCCCGCTGTACTGTGGTAGATTGAACTAGAACATAAAGGAACATATCTCAATCCTAGGATCATGCATAAGTTCCAATGATAATCGACCGAAGAGAACGCCATCCATAAAGATATTGCAGAAGACTGGCGAAAATAGTAACGATGTAGCTCCTCATGCATATGCCTGTATAATCATAGCGAAGATCTATAGATACTAGTCAGTAAGGCTAATGAAGAGACAGTCGATAAAGTCTGACCGATCAGATTGACGTACGTGATAATCGACTCACAAATCAGACCCTGAAATATCGCTGATCAGGCTGGGACCGATCACTGAGTCCTGCGTCTCAGTCTGCGCTTCGGGTTGGATCTGACCCGGAGGCAAACATTGTCCAGACGCGAGTATGTTCATGCCGTCAAAGAGGTCATCCTGAGGAGATTCATGGATATTATCAGTACCGTCTAGGCCGTACGATTGCGGAGGATCGTCAGAGTAAAGAGCGCTGGAGACGAGGGAGTGTCGGTCCGCCACCTGTTTTTCGGCGCTCGACTGTCGATATTGCGCAACTGGTATGATGGACATCCCTTCATTCTCCTCGATGAGCGGCTCGGGGCCTGTGTTGCTGGGGTTTTCCTTATCATCATGCTCATAGTTCAGTGGTGACGCTTCCATTGC